ATGTGCTCCATATCAGAGATAGAGCGTGTGTCAACACTCAGAGGCGTCAGGCTGTTTCATGCTAGACGCAACCGTTAGGCCTGACGATTTCGTCTTGCATGAAACAGCCTAACGCCTCTGAGTCTTGACTCAATGTTCACTTATATATATATATATATATATATATATATATATATATATATATATGATAAGATAATAACAAATAGGTAATGTTGATCAATCTAAAATGTTTCAAAGGAGAAACGGCGAGAAAGACAAAAACTCTGTCTCTTTTCCCTTTTCACAGTGTCTGACGAACTTTTCATAAAAGTGAACCAAGTTAAATTGATAAATCCACCTCATTTGTTCTTTATCTCATCATATTATCGGTTTCCGATCTATATTTGAACTACATTTGATCCTTAACTCATATCTATCTATAAAAATTCGAATGTCAGTGTGTCACATTTTTCTATATTTCAATAGCTCATGTTACAGAATTTTTGATTCCCAACTGAATTTACTGCGACTGTTTTAGTCAATTTTTCATCTGATTTTTGCGACGAAATTTTTTGTACGATAAAAATTTCCATAACTTGGAAATAAATTTAGGAATAATCGAAATTAATTGCAATATCCAGTGGAAGTCACCCATGAAATAAAAATAATTGTACTGAAAATAAGGACTTACGTAGATCAGATTGACTTAAAGTTAACTGGCGGCATAAGAATTGTCTTTGAACTTTTAAAAGATAAGCTTAAATATTGATGCAATAAATAAATGCGGAGATCAGTTTTGAGTTCTTCTGTAGTTTATTGTTGCCTATCGCATATGGCAGCAGTATGCAAAAAGAAATCTCCACCAGCAGAAGACCAAATTGCAATGAAATGAGCCAAGGCTGCAGCAAGGAAAAGAAAGCCCCGTGAAAACGAAAACAGCAGGCAGGAGAGCTTCCAGTGCTAACAATATGCAAAAAACTTACGGACTCTCAAACTCCTGAACAAGCCAAAGGCCCATATATATATATATATATATATATATATATATATATATATATATATATATATATAATAACGTAATGTAGGATTTGGTAATCCGTATGGATAATTCCAAAGAAGATGTAATCCAGAGAGCTCAATGTAACAACAGACCAAATATTAATTAAATAATTAGGAAAGAGACAACCTAAAGTTTCCATGATTATAATTTATTTCCCAAGAAAATATGTTTGTCCTGGTTCATCAGGTCAACCAGGACAAATATATTGTATTGGGAAATAAATTATAGTCAGAACTTTAAGGTTGTCACTTTCTTTCATCATTTAATTGATATATATATATATATATATATATATATATATATATATATATATATATATATATATATATATATATTTGAAAATATTTTTGAATTAGAGAAATAAAAAGTATGTAACTACAAAACACTTTAAAAGGGAAGCAAACCGGTTTCGCTCCCGCTTTTCAGGCCTCTATTGGAGATTTAAATTAAATTAAAAACAACAGAAAATGTGTAAT